TCTGATGTCAAACAAAACGTAAAGCTGTTGTCTTGTACACTTCGTGTTCTCTATCCTAGCAGCTTTTAGGTTGAGCGTGCCTTTTTGTATGATACTATCTTATATATAAGGCTTAAAGTCTGTACATGTATGCATGTTCCGAATACGAATTTTTGTTTTTGAACTCTCAAAAACAAGTTCTGCAAACCTACATCTTAAGACAGCTTGTCGTAGGCTTTACTGTGCAGTTATAGATCATTTGGTCGCGTTAAATCAGTTCATTCTCTAACGTAAGAAATAAATTGAGGTACTTACCATATTACTAGGGGACTATTCAAGCACTTTGTGAACATATAGCTTGAGTGGAGATAGAAATGGAGTGGTTGTCCATATAAATTAGCCGTACGCAATCAGAGGAAACAATAATTGTAGGGTAAAAACAACAAAATCGTGTGCATCAATATTCATACACAACTGGAGAAAAGGATAAAAAACCTTATGAGCCATTCAGAGCACTTCTTACATCAGACATTTGACTATTCAGCTGCACTTGGCAATTACAAAAAACCGCAGAATTAGTACTTAACAAAGGGGGCTGCTAGATATGCACCAAATGTCCAAAATATTAAAAATTAAGTCTGCAATAGAATTTTCAAAAACACCGAAAATATCAGAGAAACCTAAGTGTCGAGGAACTATGTACAAGATTCCCGCATGATTTGAGAAGTCCTTATGAACCACAAGACTCACAAGAATTGAAAGAAGAGAACCACGGAAAAGTCTTCATGAGTACAGGATCCTGAAAAATTTGAGTTTGAAAAAAAAATGAAAAGTTTGGGGGCTTTTAATTTCCTCCTCGAAGATTTACAAAAATCCATAATATAATCTACAAAAATTGTAAAGGCTTAGACGCAGAAGTAGAGAACTGGATAGTAGAAAATTATAGCAAGTGCAGGCGGAAAATTGAGCAACAGCGGCTTGAAAAGAAGTTGAGTAAGTGGAGTCGTAATACCTTTTAAAATGGTCCCCATTATTGTTGGAAAAGCTATACAAGTTTTGAATAGGCCGTACTACGGATCAGAGAAAATTCGTTTTTAATTTGTTTCCCACAACCTTTTTAAAGACAATAATTGAATGTAAAAAGTCATTATAAAAATTTTCCTTGAAAGCCAGTAGTTGTCAAAATATGGTGTCACGCATTATATTATTATTTACAATCATCTTTATATGGCTGATGACTCTAGCGAGTCCAAGTTATGCTTTCTCCTACAGAAAAAAGGCCATGTAGGACTGTTTGCATGAAATGATTGTTTGTAACAAATAATAGGATTAGTAGATAACATGGTGAAAAATTCTGATATCAAACGACTTGTCTTATGATTGTGCCTCACTCTCTTTGCAAGGACAAAATGTAACAGAGAGTAATCTCATGGCGTTGTTTTGACTTGTGATTCATTTTGGATTTTTTTTGATACTAACAAAATGACGTTCTAGTTCGTTTGAGCCAAAGTTTAGAATGATACTAATTTTTCTTTTGGTTGGAGCAACTCTGGGAATTGAAAGCGAGAGAAAACTTACATTAAGTAAGCAATTCTACTCTCACCCATTTACCAGTAGAAAAAAGTCCTATTGCAGCGGAAGCCGAGCGGCTTAAAGGTGCAGCTCTCTATGAATACCTGAAAAAGCAGCCAAAACATTTTCAGGTATGTTTTTTATGTGATTCGTTCACTGTTCTTGAACAATGTAATAAGCGCTTAGGTTGGCGACTCACCAAGAGGCAAAGAAGGCATGAAGAACTTGATAGATCCAAGATACATTCATGCTGATAGAGGTGCACCAAGAGTGAAAGTTAGTCTCGCTGATGAAGAGCTTCCTGAAAAGTAAGTTATCGGTAGATTGTACAATAAAAACAACTGTAATACCTTTTGCTTAGCAATAATTAAGAAAAGTTTTTCAACCTTTAAAGAGAAACGTTTAATTAACTTAAGAAGCAGCAAAGCTGAAATGTTGTGCTAGAGAAAGAACTGAAGTTTATCTATTGGTTTGCCAAGTGAATTCGTGCCATTAAAACTTAATTTCAAACAATTGAAAGTTTTCGCAGCATGTTGTCTAACATGTCACAAGTAGGTCTTCTTCTACAACATATTGTACTTAACTGGCTCAAGAAATTTTTTTTTTGGCACAAGCAGTGATTAAATATGTCTTTCTAAAAGTCTAAAACACCTCAACTGACAGCTAATTTTTTTGAACGCAAAATTCGCGATAACGCTATGTGGTGGGGTAATCGACTATTTTGAAAGAAACAATCGTCTTCGCTCCTATAGGTACGGTAGGTACGCCATGTAAGATCAAATCCACAGATTTGCTTGAGAAGTGGTCTATTAGGGTCAATGGGTATGCTATTTACAAAAATTATCCTCATGGTAGCATACA